TCGTCCTGGTCTGATGCCCTCACAGAAAACACTGAAACCCCTGGTAAATTGTTCTCAGTAACATAAAAAGTGTAAGGGTTTGCTGAAAACTCCGGCCTGTTATCATTCACATCCGATACAATAATAGTAATGCTTTTTACAGAAGTCAGCGAGGGTGTGCCTGCATCTTTTGCAACTATTGTTACATCATATATGGCCTGCTTTTCTCTATCCAGTGGCGATTTTGTACTTATTGAATACATGTTGTCGTGTGTTGAAGGTGACAATTTGAAAGGGACTTCTTCATTAAATGAGCAAATTACTTTCCCGTTAAGACCAGAGTCTTTATCGATAACACTGATTAATGCCACAGTAGTTCCCAGTCTTGCATCCTCGGGTATTGCCTTTGAAAACGAAGTGACCTCTATCTGAGGGGCATTATCATTCAAATCAACAATCTTCACCAACACACTTTTGTCTGTCCTTAACGGAGCCGAGCCTTTATCAGACGCTTGTATATCAATTTCATAGCTTTCCTCTGATTCGAAATCTAGCACATCTTGAATAATAATTTCACCGGTGTTTGGATCAACACGAAATAGTTCGCGTATCCTGTGGTTTACATTGCTACCTAAAGAATAGATAAGCTCACCATTTGATCCCTCGTCTAAGTCAGAAGCATTTACTTTTACTATTGTTGTACCGGTGGGAGTGTTTTCGTTCACAAGTACCGAGTACGTGTCTTCATTGAAAACTGGCATATTATCATTAACGTCTAACACATCGATAAATATTTCAGCTGTTCCAGATTTACTTGGCTTCCCTCCATCAATAGCTGAAAGAAGTAGCTTGTGAATTTTCTTTGTTTCCCTGTCTAGCATCTTGAGTAAAACTAAAATCGGTATTTTCCCCTCTTTTCCGCGATCTTTAACTTCTAATCGAAAGTGATTATTGGGACTGAGCTTATACTCCTGGACAGAAAACTGACCAACATCGGGGTCATGCGCTGCCTGCAGCTGGAGGCGCAAACCTGGTAAAACTGACTCCGAAATTTCGAGACGGTACTGTTTAACTGAAAAGCTAGGAGCATGATCGTTCACATCCTGAATCTCCACAGTCACATAATGAATTTCAAGAGGGTTTTCAAGCACTGTTTTTAGGTTGATCAAACACGCTGTGTTTCTCTCACAAACCTTCTCTCTGTCAATTATACGGTCAACATATAGTATTCCATCGTTTTGGTCCACGTGAAAAAACGACTCCGATGAACCCTCAACAATGCGACATCCTCTCTCTTTCAATGTATTCTTTTCCAATCCCAAATCCTTTGCTATATTTCCAACAGCAGTTCCTTCATTGACTCCCTCGGCAATGGAATATCTGATCTGCGCCGAAGCGCGGCTCCACACTAGAATAACTACAACAATGAAAGCGATCCACCGCAATTCGTCTTTTGATGCTCCAGGTTGTTTTCGCTCCATAATTAGGAGATAAAAATTTTCCTCTGTGATTTACAATACCGAGTTTTCCACGAGTTGAGAAAAATAATAAAAAATATTCATATCACCAGACAGGCTACCGTGCAGTATCAGGTTCACATAAGCTGAATATATGCTCTAAATGAAGAGGAGGCATCGAGTGAAACCCATCCCACAAATAGGAGGTCCCATACTGCTGACAAAGAGCTTATCTTTAAACACTTTTCTGCTCAGATAGTGACACCAAGTGACTATCAAATATTTTTTTCCCCTGGATAATAGTACATGTTAAAGTATCTCATCTTTAAGTTAATACTTGCACTTGTGTTAAGAAGGACATGTCAAATTTCATGGTGTTAGGAGAGAAAGAAGAAGATAAATAGCGCGTGGTTTCAGCACCACTGACAGCATTAACCAACACCTCTAAATGGCAAATGGAGACAAGTTTGTTGTCAAACTCTACTAAAAGCAAAACTAGAGTTTTGGCCATTTAAGGCATCTTACCTCTTCAGATGTTCTTCTCCTGTCGGGAAGCACTAGAGTATTTGCATGACTTCCAGGGACTATAGTAGATCCTATACTCATCCTGGGTCCAACTAGCATGTACCGCTTCTCTCCTGATCTGTACTGGATACTGTGACACAGTGTCCCATCATAATTAGTCTCTGGCAGATATTTAGAAGTATAGTCTGTGGATTTGGAGCACTGCATTGCAATCAGCACTATGATACTGATGAGAAAAAGTACAGAAACTGCGCCCAAAGTTATCATGAGGTAAAATATGACATTACTGTCCTCATCATCTTTTGCTGTACTTTTAACATCAGAAGCTGCAAAAGCCTCTTTGGGCTCCACAAGTTTGACTATCACAGTAGCTGTTGCTGAGAGAGAAACGTTGCCGTTGTCTTTGACCAGTATTACCAGTTTATGCTCAGCCTCGTCTGTCTCTGTGAATGAGCG